TAAAGAATTTAAAGATCTTCTAGTCCCTATTTTACTTAGAATGCTGTCTCACTCTTTTGACACAGGCAGCATGCCACATTCAATGTTAGAGGCTAATATAACGTTAATTCTATTAATTGTCTATTAATTATTAATTAAATATAATTCTAAAAACAACCGGCCAGCAGAAGAATGTTCATCCTACCGACCAATCTCTTTATTTAATGTAGACAGGAAGTTAAAAGCTAAAGTTTTGTCTAAAAGGTTAGAAGCTGTAATTCCTCATATAATCCCCACTGATCAGACTGGATTTATTCCAGACCGACGCTTATTGAATGTTATACAGCATGGACAAAATATTCAGGGTGGATCACTGGTGGTGTCTCTCAACGCTGAGAAGGCTTTTGACAAGATAGAGTGGCCCTATATCTTTTCTGGGTTTTAGACAAATTTAACCTGGGTAACAATCTAATAAAATGGGTAATGCTGCTCTATGCGTCACCGCAAGCCTCTGTCTTGACCAATGGCACTCACTCTCCATTCTTCTCACTGAGCAGAGGAACAGGGCAAGGTTGCCCTATGTCCCCGCAGTTATTTGCTCTAGCGATCGAGCCTTGGCACAGGCCATTAGAGAAGATACATTCTTCTTAAAGGGGTCATATAATGCTACATGCACTTTTACAAGTTGTTCATGACCCCTTTAAATGTAATATTTATCTGAATTAAATAGCTCTAATACTTCGTTTCTCTGGAGGAACAGAGGGTCGAGGATGAAGTGATCATGCCTTCAGTTACCCCCTGAGCAAAGAGGTCTGGGTGTGCCAAATGTTCACTTATCAAACAGCTTATTTATGCAGCTATATCTGGGAGTGGATTAGGGAAGACCCTGACCGTTCGTGGCTGGATATTGAAAATAATTCTATATCCCCCATCCCTTTAAGTCATTTGCTGTACATGTCAACAAATAAGGTTTTTGTTTCTTGCTACTGTGCACACTGAGAGTATGGAAATGGACGAGGAAATGGGAGAATCACTGTAGTAAGCATTCCCCTCTCTCATGAATCCTGATTTCCCTCCAGGCCTTGAACCAGGACCTTTTCTGAAGTGGGTGGGAAAAGGTATCTCTGTTATCGGAGACCTCTTAATAAATGGTGAGATTATGACAGGTTCAAAGAAAAATTTGACCTACCAAATTCCCCCCTTTTTTTTAGGGATCCTCTAGGCCAGTGGTTCCCAATCCTGGTCCTGGAGAACCCCCAACACTGCACGTTTTTGGTGTCTGTCTTATCTGACACTCACATTTGAGGTCTTGGAGCAGGGCTGTCCAAACTCGGTCCTGGAGGTCCGGTGTCCTGCAGAGTTTAGCTCCAACTTGCCTCAACACACCTGACTGGAAGTTTCTATGCCTAGTAAGAGCT